ATGAGATGTGTGTTTCTTAAATGGTAATGATTCCAATCTGAATAACTAGTCTGCTAATATCAATCTATATTTCTGAGATGAGGTATTATGTACATTATTTACATTATTCAGACTATTGTCCTCATCTTTGTCGCCATATTTATTACAACATTTCGGCACTTTAGTATCTGTCTATATTTCTGTGATGAGATATTATGTACCCTATTTAAATTATTCGGACTATTGTCCTCATCTTTGTTGCCATATTTATTACAACGTTTCGGCCGTTGAATGCTCCGACCTTCTTCAGGTGGTTGGAATGTCGAACTGAACCCTTTATTTCGCTCACTGGGGTAGACTGTTCTAGTTCCACGTGCCATGTTTTATGGATGTCAATTATCAGTTATCTAAAGATAATTTCCGACTGAAAGTTCTCCACTGCCTTAACCGGGTGTTTGGGTCCTGTCACTTGATCTAACTAACACCTTTATCCACTGGGCCATGTCTCCTTGACCACCTGAAGAAGACCGGAGCGTATAACGGCCGAAACGTTGTAATAAATATGGTGACAAAGATGAGGACAATAGTCCGAATACTGTAAATAGTGGAGTCTGCTAATATTTTTCTACTTGGCATTTTTATTCCTTCCCGTTGTATTCTAGACCAGGGATCGGCAACCTAGGAACGCGTGCCACACTATGGCACGCAGACGCAAATGACATCACGAAGTCCGAACAAATAAGTACTACAACGCAAAGAAGATATTTAGCTGTTTCAATTTTAATATCTACTAAAGTATATATACTATGTATTACTATATAAAATGTATTGTAGAGCAGGTATATTGACCTTGACTTGTATAACAATACGTAAGCTGTTGGCACACTGAATGATTTTAAAACCCTAAGTCGGCACATAGCAAAAGGTTGCCGACTCATTTCTATTTCTTTCTTAATTTTATTTTACACATCTTTCTTTCCTCTTGCCCATCTCTTTCTTTCTTCGTTTCTTTCTTTCAATTAGACTTTTTCAACTCTTTCGTAATATGCTTTAGGGTCTATCTCAGGGGTTAGCAACTTACGGCACGCGTGCCACATATGACACGCCAAGCAATATCCAATGGCACGCAGCCGCAAATGACATCACGAAGTCCGAACCAATAACAACTACAACGCAAAGAAGATATCTAGCCATTTCAATTTTAATATATACTAAAGTAGATATATTATATATTACTATATAAAATATATTGTAGAACAGGTATATTAATCTTGACTTTTATAAAAATACATCTGCTGTTGGTACACTGAATGATTTTAAAACACTAAGTCGGCACATAGTTAGAAAAAAGGTTGCCGACCCCTTATCTACAGGGTCCAATCCAACAAAAGAATCTAAACTCTAAGCTACCCCACCCCCAAGTAATGGCTTCACAACCTCTTTTGAACGTAGATCTATCCATCTTCAGGATCCTTGAATTATAGGGCCCAATGCAGGGAAAGACTCAAAACTTTTATCTATCCTCCCCAAGTACAACTTCCGTGAACGTAGATCTATCCATGTTGAGGTTTCCTGAATTACATGGCCCAATTCAGGGAAAGACTCAAAACTTTAAGCTATCATCCCCAAGTAATGGCTTCACAGCTTCTGTGAACGTAGATCTATCCATTCTTCAGTGTTATTGGATATCTGAATTAATAAAATAAACCCAGTATATGAAAACAGCTACTGAACCTAAAAGTTACTTGTACCAAAATGTTCATGTCTAGAACAGCCAACCCAATCATTCTCATGTAAAGAATAACGAACCCAATCATCTTCTTGTAAAGCTGGGGTCGGCAAACTACGGTACAAGTGCCACACATGTCAAGCAATTTCCAATGGCACGCAGCCGCAAATGACATCACGAAGTCCGAACCAATAACTACTTCAACGCAAAGAAGATATTCAGCTGTTTTAATTCTAATATATACTAAAATATATATACTATATATTACTATATAAAATATATTGTACAACAGGTATATTAATCTTGACTTGTATAAAATACGTAGGCTGTTTGCACACTGAATGATTTTAAAACGCTAAGTCAGCACATAGTCAGCAAATGATTGCCGAACGCTGTTCTAGACTCTGAAATAGCTTAAATCCCAAAACGATGTTTCATGCAAGATGATGACTTCATCAGGGTCACTGCCCTGTTACAGATCTTGTGAGATAGGTTAAAAAACATAATCGATTTTTTTTTTTAATTCAAATGTTTTGTAAAGGAAAGTTTTGTTTAAACAGAAAAAAAAGTGATATTGGACCATGACCGGCCTTTGTAAATGATATAAACATAAAAATTAGATAAAACTTCATTTCGATTTTCACAATGAGTTGACAGCACCAGAAAAGACCTCACCCCATGAGATAAGGATCTTTATCCTTGTTTGAAGGTAAAAAAAATTCTCTTAATTTGCAATAATCAGCTTTACGAGTTATACATCGCCTATTTTTTGTCTGTTGACTTAACAATGAGTCAAGTTAATAATTCTGCATTTTACAGCCAGATATTTATATTAGAGAGATATTTATAGCCATTTAAAAAACATGGATGACTAATCAAATACGCGTATCAACTAAATATAACACTTAAAGTCATGAGGAGTACTGTTGGATGATAAATAAAATTCCATTAATTCCTTAGAAATTGTTTTGATTATATTTTGGATACGAAACTAAAGAACGTTAATAAAAAGAATTTCCTGTTAGCATTGCATGTGAACCATTGCTTCTAAAGTAGACGGGATCAAACATTTTGGTAAAAATTCAATGACATTTTGGATGTTAAAATAAACATTTCCCAATTGTCAAGTTTGTAATGCTTTTTTTTCTTTTATCATTTAACCTCATGTAAAGCAGTATAGCCACTAATACACAGGGTGCTATTGAGTGTGAAAGAATAAAAAAAGAGAAACATTATTAAGGAGCGTAAACAATAGAAGAATAATCAAGAAGACAGTAGAAAGCGATTGACATTGCATTTAAATTTGTTTTCTAATAATTTCACCCTGCATTTCACCCTTGTGTCTTAGTGGCAGTAAAGCCACTAAGACACAAGGGGTTACTGAGTGTGAAAGAATAAAAAAAGAGAAACATTATTAAGGAGCGAAAGCAATAAAATGCTAATCAAGAAGACAGTGGAAAGCGATTGACAATGCATTTAAATTTGGCCGGTGTTGTCAACAATGTTACGAATAGGGAAAATATTATTTACGAATTTAAATGCCCAATAAGGAATTGTATTCTTGATCAATCAAAATTCGTAAATAATTATATAGGACACACTACAACATGTTTGACACGCAGACTCACTCTACACATTTCCGACCATAGCTCAATTAGATTTAAATATTTAAATATTCATGGAGATCTACCGGACACTATTCGTAACGTACTTGTTGACACCACTAATATAATAGCATCATCTACATGCAAAAAAGACTAAAAATAATGGAAACCTTATTAATAAAAACAAACAAACCAACACTTAATAATATTAACTTTGAACATGGACATAATATCTTGACCGTGTTTTGAAAGAAAAAAATGAAAACATTTTATAAAACATACATACAACAAATAATTTCTAATTTTAACAGTTAAAATATAATCCTTAAAAATGGCTAAATGTATAGCCGAAAGCGTTCGAATAAAAAGAACATTCGGACAGTTTTTATATAATTTATCATCCGAAAAGAAAAAAAAATATAAGATCGTATGAGAAATTGTATAAAAAACTAAATAAAAGCATCTTGTCTGTCGTTTTCAATGAAATGTGCATGAAAGAAGGATGGTCGCCTAAATACACACACACACACACACACACACACACACACACACACACACACACATATATATATATATATATATATATATATATATATATATATATATATATGATAGATTTTCTTGTATGCGTATTGCTTCGATATATTGATATTAACGTTGTTGAGACTACACATTCCTCCTGTGAAGCTCATTTCCGATTTCTCGCTTACCTGATAAATAAAATTATCAAAAAATTAAATTCGTTATTTTCTGCCTTCTTGAACCCAGTTGACCCTTTTGCCCTCTCCTCAATCCTCAATTGAGAACTGTCGACCCTTTCTGGCATGGAAAGTCTGATACCAAAGAAAAATAACGTCAGCTATAACCGAATGGCTGGCCCTACTGCAGTCATAGCACCCCGTAACGAATTCTATAATATCGATCAATAATATCTATCAAAGGTAACTGTGTAGTAGGATCCTTGCTGAATTCAGAAATGCCTGCAATCATTGCGAGAGAGTTCTAGAAAATGCAAAATGCGTCTATGCACAAGCATTCCAAGTCAAGGTCGAAAGTAAACGAATTGGATCCTGTGATTTCTGGAAAGTCTTTCACGGAATTCTCAATAGCGCCTACTATCGTAAATGACCCTTAAGTTATCTCCTGTCCTGGGTATGACGATAAACTATATCCGTGTCCTGGGAAAGACGATAAACTACGTCCAGCAGCAAGGCCTCTGATCAGGAGTTTTTGAGGAACATGGAACCACTTCTTAATTGCTGGTGTCCCCAGGTCCACCTTGATCTGGGGTGGTAGCACTTGTTAGGGCCCCAGTTTAAAAATAGGTTTTAGTACCAGAAATACTTTGTAAAAAATTATTACCAGCAATAATTTTTTAAGGAAAATTATTGTCATAAATACATTGTTACTAGAAATATATTTTTGAAAAAAAATTACCAGTTCTACACTGAAAAATATTACCATCAATACAGTTTTGAAAAAGAAATTACGAGCAATAAAAATCTTGTCGGCATTAAATAACCCATTGAGGTGTTGATATGCCGTAAAACAAAACCAACCAAACCAATATATACTGTGATAGATAGATAGATAAAAAATATTAGCAGCAATAAAAATCTTGTCGGCATTAAATAACCCATTGAGGTGTTGATATGCCGTAAAATAAAACCAACCAAACCAATATATACTGAGATAGATAGATAGATAGATAGATAGAAATATTAGCGTCAATAAAAATCTGGTCGACATTAAATAACCCATTGAGGTGTTGATATAGCGTAAAACAAACCAAACCAAACCAATATATACTGAGATAGATAGATAGATAGATAGATAGATAGATAGATAGATAGAAATATTAGCAGCAATAAAAATCTTGTCGACATTAAATAACCCATTGAGGTGTTGATATAGCGTAAAACAAACCAAACCAAACCAATATATACTGAGATAGATAGATAGATAGATAGATAGATAGATAGATAGATAATAAAAATATTAGCGGCAATAAAAATCTTGTCGACATTAAATAACCCATTGAGGTGTTGATATAGCGTAAAACAAACCAAACCAAACCAATATATACTGAGATAGATAGATAGATAGATAGATAGATAGATAGATAAAAATATTAGCGGCAATAAAAATCTTGTCGACATTAAATAACCCATTGAGGTGTTGATATAGCGTAAAACAAACCAAACCAAACCAATATATACTGAGATAGATAGATAGATAGATAGATAGATAGATAGATAGATAGAAATATTAGCAGCAATAAAAATCTTGTCGACATTAAATAACCCATTGAGGTGTTGATATAGCTTAAAACAAACCAAACCAAACCAATATATACTGAGATAGATAGATAGATAGATAGATAGATAGATAGATAGAAATATTAGCAGCAATAAAAATCTTGTCGACATTAAATAACCCATTGAGGTGTTGATATGCCGTAAAACAAACCAAACCAAACCAATATATACTGAGATAGATAGATAGATAGATAGATAGATAGATAGATAGATAGATAAAAATATTAGCGGCAATAAAAATCTTGTCGACATTAAATAACCCATTGAGGTGTTGATATAGCGTAAAACAAACCAAACCAAACCAATATATACTGAGATAGATAGATAGATAGATAGATAGATAGATAGATATATTAGCAGCAATGAAAATCTTTTCGGCATTAAATAACCCATTGAGGTGTTGATATAGCGTAAAACAAACCAAACCAAACCAATATATACTGAGATAGATAGATAGATAGATAGATAGATAGATAGATATATTAGCAGCAATGAAAATCTTTTCGGCATTAAATAACCCACTGAGGTGTTGACATGCCGTAAAACAAAACCTAAAGTTATCTCATTCACGTCAGAAAGATTTTCGCAACGATATTTGCCCCTAATTTCACGTTAGATGAAAACGTTCATCCCTCTTCAGACTTTCATTCTCTCATGGAGCACAAATTTAGAAAGATTTCTTTCGCAGCCTAATATTTTTTTTTCACTTGATGAACATTGTTGAGACTTAAATAGAAATTGAGAAAACAAAGAGTTTGGGCTGGGATCAAAGTGTAGTATCTGTTCTTGTAGAGAACCGCGTCGGTTTGGGTGTTGTTGAATTAGGAATACGTGCTGTTTATTCCAACTAGAGGGTCCAACTACAAGAACATGGCGGACTGAAGTTGTGTCCAACAGAAGATGTAAAAAAAAAACAAAACAAACAAGACCGATATATGTCTTTGCGCTTTGTACAGGGTTAACGTCAGTAAAAAAATACTTTTACTTGATCCAACTAAAACCTAGGAAAGCGAAAAGCTTTAACGACTGGAAGCTTAGACGACACAAAGATATTTACTTAAAAGCAAGACTTTGGGTTATATAAAACATTGACCAAACAGAGAAAACACAAAATCAGACTCAAGACAATGGCAAAAAGAGACGGCCATTTCTTTTATATTCACCAATGTTTCTCTCTATTTTATTAACATCTCAATATCGAATTGTTTGTAGTTAGATTTCTACTTAAATTTTTACAGGCTCTTATGGGACTTAAGTTTGCGTGCTGTTGTATTGTAGGCGTGTAAGTGTTCACATATAAACAATTAAAGAAGAAACAACATTTTAATTTTATAATTTTTAATTATTTGCTTTTCGTCACCTCCAAAAATAGTCTAACCGAAAGTGAGTCTTATTCACGGGATGAACATCGTTGTGACTAAAATAGAAATTGAGAAAACAAAGAGCTGAGATCAAAGTGTAGCATCTGTTTCTAATGGTAATGATAATATTACCCGTTTCTTTATAAAACAACATTCGGCATTAAATAGGGTTACATTCCAAAGGTGAAACTCCATCGTCTTGATGTCAAATCTGACTTTATGCTTATATTTGAAACCGGTATCGATCCATCTATCCCAGTGCAGAAACACACTATCCAGGTCTACTCGCCTCAGCATGACCCTCGAAATCTCCATGGCAACAGAGTCGGCACCTACATAAAGGATGGGTTCCCATGTGGCAAAGATCCCTAAAACAAGGACCCTGGTTTAAATGTAAGTCCTTTCACGTGGCCTTTGTTTTTCTCTGTCAATACTCTTTAAATATAGTGCCTCCAGAACTGTCATCCACAACTCTGGGGGATCTTTAAAAATATCAGCTATAACTGAATAGTCGGCCCTAATGCAGCCATAGATTACCGTAATCAGTACTACATATCTATCATAAGGAACGGTGTAGTGGGACCGCTGGCGAATTTGGAACTGTCCGAAACAATTGTAAGAGAGTTCTTGAAAATGCAAAAGCATTCCAAGCCAAGGTCGAAAGCAAACGTCTTGGATCCTGTGATTTCTGAAAGATCTCTAACCAAATTCCCAATAGAGGCAAAATGCCGGTGCTTAATATCAAATATTATCCCAAAGAAACAAATGCAGCCCCAGGAGGTGCAGGAACAGAGAAATCCCGGAAAGTATTCTCAAAAGCAAAAGGGGGCGCAAATAGAAAAACAACCGGTAAAACAGCCCCCTAAACAGCAGCAGCAGGTACAACAACAAGAACAGCAAGAACAACAACAACTAGAACAAGAACAACAACAAGAAAATGGAGGTGGAACAAAAGCTCCGCGCCCCTGTGCCTCTTCATTAAAGACGAATAGGGAGGAAGAGGAAGAAGAGGCCGTGCTAAGCCAACGAAGTAGGGCGGATGGATACATAGACAAAACCAGGTCCCTGTCCGTCCCTGCATCCCCGAAACAAGCAGTTATGGTGTCAAAAACAAGGAGCCTCCCTTCATCCTCTTCCCGTGCTCCGTCTTCCTCTCCTTCCACCTCCTCCCTCGTTTCTATATCCACCCCACCTCACACACATCTACCCTTTCCCCGTCCCACCAGGATAAAGAAAAGAAAAAGAAAAAGAAAAAAATATTTCCCTGGCCCTGGGTTGGTCTGCAAGGGGGATAGGAGAGAACTAGAAAAAGACTTGTCTGCGCATAGAAAAGCCCGACTAGGTCCGCTTTTTAAATTGACTTCAGTGGATGGCAAATCAGTAGAGGATCCCCGTATTTTTCCTTAGGCCCCTGGTATCATAACTTTCATTAGCGACACGGGGGTAGGGGTACTTAAAAGTTTGCTACCATCTCCATGAATGTAGGGATGTATTCCCGGATATTAGGGTTTTTGAGATAGGTACATCTGAGCTTAAAAAACTTTCCAATTTCTGTGCAGGGAGGTTCCCCGTATCACTCCACACTTTTGTATATAGGGCCGTTAAATTAACCTACCCTATGGACGTCGGTGGATTTGTCCCAGATGGTCGGGTACTGGGAGCCTGGGACAATCCGTCGGGGTCCTAACACCCGCAGATTTCCGGCCAGTCTTCGCTTAAGGGACCCTGGCTTAAATTATGTCAATCAAACTAGCCAGTCTGAATGCGAGGGGCCTGAGAGATCAGGGTAAGGCTGTCCACCTGCTTTATGATCTCAGGTCCTTTGGAGTGGATGTAGCTGCGATCCGGGAAACATACTTTGTTTGCGAAGTTGATGCTCGTGTGCTGTCTAGCGACTTTGTTGTCAATTCAGCATACGGGGACCAGCTGGTCAGAGGTGTTTCCTTGTTAGTTAAACGTTCCCTGGATGCGAGGGTAGACCTTGTTCATGTTGACGCGGAGGGCAGGTTGATCGTGGCTGATATTGCCGTCAGCAGTGGTTCATTTCGGGTCGTTGCGGTTTATGCGCCCAACGACCAGAGTGAGCGTGTCGACTTTTTCCGTCAGTTGGGGCCGTTCCTGGTTGATTCGTCGCGCTTAGTCTTAATGGGGGACTGGAATGCCGTCCTGGACCCCAAGAGAGATAGGGGGCGGGGAGCTAGCGGGAAGGAATCGGGCGATCGTAGCCTGGTTGATGTGATTGGCGACTTTGAGCTCGTCGATAGATACCGGGTCGATCATCCAAGGGAGGTGATGTGGACGTGGGTTCGTAGTTGGCTGTCTATCCAGGTAGCCAGCTACCTGGACAGAATGTTAGTGAGAAGAGTCGATCTAGATTTACTAGATTGTCCAACGTTCCACCGTGTAGACTATTCAGATCATAGACTCGTCTGTGCCTGGATGGTGTTAGGTACTAGGCCTAGAATGGCTGCACACTGAAAGTTCAATCAGTCCTTACTGGACAGAGGGGACTTTCAGCAACAGCTAACTAGAGTAGTACAGCGGGAATTAGTGGGGGCGGTTATAGGGAGTAAGTGGTGGGAGAGGCTTAAGGATAGGATTAGATCCTTCATCACTGAATATAGCCAACGACTCGCTCTAGATAAAGGTAAAAAAGTGAAGACTCTAAGGGATAGTCTGTCCCGGGCGGTGGCTGGGGGGATTCCCTAGAGATAGCCGTATCTAAGCAGGCCCTGAAGCGCGAGGCTAGCAAGGGCTATCAGGGTCAAGTAGTTAGACATAGATTAAACAAGATGTCTAAAGAAGCCGTGAACATGGGTGCAGAATTGCACCAGAAAGAGATCCGTCGAGGTTCCGATCGATACATTCGCAAGGTCATTACCCCGAAGGGGCGCTTTCTGAGGGCGACCAAGGACATGTGCGAGGCGTTTCGGCGGCATTTCGAGAGTCGCATTACGAAGGAGTCTGGTCTCAGTGGCGAAGAGTTTCGAAGCTATTTGGCTGACTTTCCTCGGCTCTCGCTGTCTGAAGCAGCTAGCTGCGAGAGTGAAATCACGGAGGGCGAAGTCTACTTGGCATTGGAGAAGGTCGGCAGAGGCAAGTCACCGGGACTTGATGGTCTGCCCTACGAAATTTGCACCTTTGTCCCGATTTTGACAGTGGTGTTCAACAACTGGTTCCGGCAGGGGTCCATCCCCAACCGGATTTCCAGGGGTGTGACCACGCTGTTGAAAAAGAGCAAGGGCGTTGGGCGAGATTTAGATGAATACAGGCCCATAACTCTGCCAAACACAGAGTTAAAGCTTTTGGCCAAGATCCTGACGAAGAGGTTGCAGTCAGTTGCCACGAGCTTGTTGGGACCTGAGAAGACTTCAATTCAAAGCAACCTGCATCTGATCCGCACGATCATAAAGGGTTTAAAAGACAACAAGCGAACTGCGCTGATCAATTTGGATCAGTCCAAGGCATTTGACAGGGTTGACCATCAATACCTGGCTGCTGTTCTGCAGGCCGCCGAATTCGAACCCGACTTCTGAAGGTGGATTAACTTCCTGTATCGCTCCCCCAGTGCTGTTGAACAGTTGAACGGAAGGCGGTCGAGCGCTTTTCGCTGACTCGGTCGGTCCGACAGGGGTGCCCACTGTCGCCCTTACTTTATGCTTTGGCGTTGGAGCCCTTCCTTAGCCGGCTAAGGGACAGGGCGTGCAATCCGGCGCTACGCGGAATCGCCGTTTTCACTGGTAGTGTTCGAGCTAGGGTTTCTGCGTACGCCGATGACGTATCCATCTTTGTGTCGTGCTGCAGCGACATTAAGGTGGTGCAGAAGGCGCTTGAACGATACGAGAAGGTGACGGGGGCCAAGATTAACCGCAACAAGTCTTCGGCTTGCGGTTAGGTGCTTGGATGGGGGTCGCGCTTCCGGGGCCCTTCAGCTGGACTGATGGACCCGTCCGCATCCTTGGCGTGTGGTTCGGGCCCGGACTCTGGCTGAAGAAAAATTGGTCAGAAGTACAAGCAAAGGTCGGAGCGTCGGTTCGGACTTGGCTTCGAAGGGGGTTGTCCTTACAGGGTAGGGCTGAGGCGTGTGCCACTTACATCTTGCCCCTCATTCTTTACCGCTTGACTGTACTTCCTCTTTACAGGAAACGTATGAAGGCGATCGAACGTTTATTGATCATCTACTTGTGGGGTGGTCGCAAGCATTGGGTCCTTAAAGAAGCCTGTTACCAGCGTCCGTGTCATGGGGGGCTGAGTTTTCCACACCTGTTGAGTCATCGCCATGCCTCAAGGTTGGCTTTCCTATGCTGAGTTTTGACGGAGGAATCGATTTTGGCGCCGAGTGTTAGGGACGCCTTCCTTAGCTTTACTATCACTCCCCCGCGGTTGTGGAAGGTTGTCGAGTTTCTTCAATGACTGTCGGGCGGCCTTGGGGTCTTTCCTCTGTCCAGTGACCTTACTCGGCGTCGGAGACTATTGTATCATGAATTAGTGGAGGGGGTCGCGAAGGATCCTCTGTGTGGCCGGCTCGGCTTATCGGCATCAGAGTTGCGCTCTTTTTGGTCTTGGGCGCCAACACTGAGTTTTCGCTTAGCTGACGATTGATTCGGAACGTGCAACCTCTCAATGACGCACTCTTCAGATGCGGCCAGGCAGATTTGCCAGATTGTCATCGGTGGGACCTTGGTTTAGAGGGAACGGCATCGCACGCCTTCTACCATTGTCCTCAGGTGCGCCCTTTCTGGAATTATGTCGGCGAGTTGACGGCTCGTATCGCTCTCGATCACCTCGTGTCCATCGATCTCGCGTACGCGTGTGACAATATGTGGCCCCCGTTCTCTGGAGTAAAACGGATGGTGTTTTTCACGTTGCTAGTCGTGATTAGAGTAGTCGTGTGCATGTCGCGAAAAGTGAGAATCTTGCGAAATGAACGTTATTCGTTCCCTGATACGAATAACATTCATTTCACAAGATTCCCTCCTGATCTAATTGTTTTCTTTAAGCATCAGCTTAAGGTGAAAATCAGATCTGATCGAAAGCGTTTGATTTCGACAGGTTTCAATGAAAGGTGGGTGACAGAGGCTAGCCTGGTTCGTAAGGACGGGGCTAGCCTTGATTTCCTTTTTTTAAGTCCCCTTAGCGCAAATATTTTGTGTTCCTAGTTAATGTGAATAAGTGTTGTTCCCGGCCTGTTCCCGGCTTTTTCTTCATGTCAAGATTCCCAATCTCCTCGGATTGTTTTTGTCCCCATTTTTTCATCTCGACTGAGTCAGCCTTTGATTTCCCCATTCCGTCATTTATTTTCCCCTCCCCTTTCCATTAGTGAGTGTGTTTCTTGATTCTATCTATCGATAGAATACAGCGGCCACACTTATTATTTTGAGAGATGGACGGTTCCTACTAACATTGTTTTGATTTTGTTTTGTCTTTGGTTGACATTTCTGAGTTTCATGTCTGGATTCATCTCCCCTCCCCATCATTTCATGTTTCAAGGGATTTTTTAATTATATATATATATATATATATATATGAACATTACATATTTTTATCCCATGGTGTGTTTTTGTCTGACCCTTGTGAATATGTGGTATTGTGGTATGTGCAGGATTGTGTGGTGATGGATGAGTTCTTGTGGTGAATGTGTAATTGTAATGAATGAATGGGACATGATTGTGGTTAACTAGGAATAGGACAGCTAGAGAAATACCAGACTTTCCCCACACCCCGTTCGGCCTTGTGCCAAGATTTTGTAATTTTTACTGAATGAATATAAAGACACAAGAAGGCAGTCATGTTATCAGGTAAGTCATTTGACTTCTATAATATCTGTACTTGAAAGTATAAAATTACGAACAAAACATCTGAACTTGCAAGTATAAGATTACACACAAAATATCTGTACTTAAATGTATAAAATTACGAACAAAACATCTGTACTTGAAAGTATAAAATTACGAACAAAACATCTGTACTTGAAAGTATAAAATTACGAACAAAATATCTGTACTTAAAAGTATAAAATTACCTACAAAATATCTGTAAGTGAAAGTATAAAACTACCAACAAAATATCTGTACTTAAAAGTATAAAACAACCAACAAAATATCTGTACTTGAAAGTATAAAATTGTGTACAAAATATCTGTACTTGAAAGTATAAAATTATGTACAAAACATCTGTACTTGAAAGTATAAAATTATGTACAAAATATCTGTACTTGAAAGTATAAAAATATCTACAAAATATCTGTACTTGAAAGAATAAAAATATCTACAAAATATCTGTACTTGAAAGTATAAAATTATCTACAAAATATTTGTACTTGAAAGTATAAAATTACCCACAAAATATCTGTACTCAAATGTATAAAATTACATGCAAAATATCTGTACTTGAAAGTATAAAATTACCTACAAAATATCTGTACTTGAAAGTATAAAATTATCTACAAAATATCTGTACTTAAAAGTATAAAATTACCTACAAAATATCTGTAAGTGAAAGTATAAAACTACCAACAAAATATCTGTATTTGAAAGTATAAAATTGCGTACAAAATATCTGTACTTGAAAGTATAAAATTATGTACAAAACATCTGTACTTGAAAGTATAAAATTATGTACAAAATATCTGTACTTGAAAGTATAAAATTATGTACAAAATATCTGTACTTGAAAGTATAAAATTGCGTACAAAATATCTGTATTTGAAAGTATAAAATTATGTACAAAATATCTGTACTTGAAAGTATAAAAATATCTACAAAATATCTGTACTTGAAAGTATAAAATTATGTACAAAATATCTGTACTTGAAAGTATAAAATTACGTGTTTAGATTTCGGCATTAAATAACCCTTAGAGGTTGATACGTCGGTAAACCAAATCAACCAACTTGGCAATTTTGATATTCACGGCAAAGTGTGGTTGATCCATTCAAACAAAACCTATAAAGAAGGGCAATAATGCCAAGCCATGTCCATCGCCTATGGTCTGTCACAGATCACCGGTGAACTTACCCTTGTTACCAATAGAACAGGACATCACATGAACACCTTAGACCTCTTCTTAACATTCTTTTAATAAATTCGAGATTTTGAATGTTGATCTTAAAAATATCATATAATCCTTATTTGGAACTTTCCAAGAATGACATCTTGCGATTCAATTTGGTCTTGCATTACACTAATCCTTTCTTAGGGGATAATAAATCTGAATGTATCTTCGTACACAGAAAAGTATGAATGTATTTAGGTATTTACACACCACACTTGTAAATATGCTCACTTGCATACAGATACTCACACATATACAAATACAGCAGCTTTCTATCTATCTATCTATCTATCTATCTATCTATCTATCTATCTATCTATCTATCACAGTCCGTTGATATCTATCAATCACAGTCCGTTAATATCTATCTATATCTATCTATCTATCTATCTATCTATCTATCTATCTATCACAGTCCGTTGATATCTATCAATCACAGTCCGTTAATATCTATCGTTAATATCTATCTATCTATCTATCTATCTATCTATCTCTTTTTCATGTCAATCTACCTATTCCAGAGTGCACATATCTATGTCAAACTGTTCATATCTATCTATCTATCTATCTATCTATCTATCTATCTATCTATCTATCTATCTATCACAGTCCGTTGATATCTATCAATCAGAGTCCGTTAATATCTATCTATCTATCTATCTATCTATCTATCTATCTATCTATCTATCTATCTATCTATCTATTTATTACAGTCCGTTCATATCTCTCTATCTATTTATCTGATTTTCTCTGGTTTTCTTTGAAGTCGGTAGCCTAAAGCAATTTTATCTTTAAGGCAATTCTCACTGTAAAGAATATTTTTTTGAAAAGTTAATTACCTTTTAGCAAAATCAGAGGCGAATAAATTCAAATTTTAGAACATGGAGACGAAAATGCGATGAAAGAAAGAGGAATGACGTTGATTATGACGAAGTAAGAAAGAAAAAAAGAAAGAAATAAAGAATGAATGAATGAATGAAAGAAATAAGAAAGAAAGAAAAAAGAAAGAAATAAAGAAAAAGAAAGAAAAACGAAAAAAGAAATAAAAATAAAAGGAAGTGAAAGAAAGAAAAAGAAAGAAAGAAAGAAAAAGAAAGAAAAAGAAAAAGAAAGAAAGAAAGATAGAAAGAAAAAGAAAAAAGAAAGAAAACAAAAAAGAACAAAGAAAGAAAGAAAGAAAGAAAAAAAAAAGAAAGAAAAGAAAGATAGAAAGAAAGATAGAAAAAGAAAAAAGAAAGAAAAAAGAAAACAAAAAAGAACAAAGAAAGAAAGAAAAAGAAAAAAGAAAGATAGAAAAAAAAAGAAAGAAAACAAAAAAGAACAAAGAAAGAAAGAAAGAAAAAGAAAAAAGAAAAAAGAAAGAAAAAAAGAAAGAAAGAAAGAAAAAGAAAGAAAACAAAAAAGAACAAAGAAAGAAAGAAAAAGAAAAAAAGAAAGAAAGATAGAAAGACAGAAAGAAAGAAAAAGAAAGAAAAAAGAAAGAAAGAAAAACAAAAAAGAACAAAGAAAGAAAGAAAGAAAAAATAAAGAAAGAAAAAAAGAAAAAATAGAAAGAACAAAGAAAGGAAAAAAGAAAAAAAAGAAAGAATCAAACCAACAAACTAATTTAAAATTGCAATATCTTGCGCAACTTTTACCTCATAATTGTAAGAAAATTTAAATCTATTTTGCCATTATTATAAGCTCCCGGTATGTTGTTGCTGTAGTAATTATAAATGTGTATAGAGGGGGAGGGGAATATAGAGAGTAAACGAAGAGAAAGAAGAAAGAAAGGAACAGCAATATGTTGTGGGAAAAAAGAAAAAAATATTTTGCAGAAAGAAAGAAAAGACTGAGTTTAATGGAGAAGAGAAGAAAAAAGACAGATAAGGTAGAAGAAGAAGAAGAAGAAGAAGAAGAAGAAGAAGAAGAAGAAGAAGAAGAAGAAGAAGAAAGCTTATGATAGAAAAGAGAGATGCAAAGGTACTTGAAATCGGCGAACAAAATTCAAATTCAAGACGTGTTTGCTGTGTACAGATTCACTTCGGAAACATTTATTAATAGCTACAAAGGAAAAGGAATTGTGGAGAGCCATGATCGCCTACGTCCTGAAGAGACACAACACATAGAAGATTAAAAGAGTGTTTCGTAATGTAACGTTTATATTATTTGTTTATATTATTATTCTTAAATGTCTATAATTGGTAACAGATGCGAAGCATTGGTTTATACCAACGGCTTTTCATACTTAATAATTCTTGAATTCACTCTCGCGTGGTCATGTGTGACGTCATGAGCTGCGGTGCGATTTTCGCTTCCAGCGTGTTATATGCACGTGTTTATCGTTGCTTGGAAATCATCCATGTAAACAGAAACAGACTATCATCACTTTCTTGCCCGTGTATTGCTTAATATATTGTAATGTAATTGTCATCTTTGATAATGGCTTATTGTAAAAAAATATGTAAATAGTGTGATTTTCTTAATGATTGTATTAAAAATATGTATCAATAGTGTGATTTTCTTCGTTTAATGAAACATAATATATATTATATATATTATCAGACGATATGAAAAGAATTTAATAAAAACTAAATAGTCAAAAATTATTTACTATATTATTTAATTTAAAATATGTATATATATATATATATATATATATATATATATATATATATATATATATTCATATTTTTTTATTATATATATACATGTTTCATAATGGAACCTTAAAGTTGGTCTGTTTTTCTTTATATATATATATATATATATATATATATATATAGAGAGAGAGAGAGAGAGATAATATTAGTGGTCAATATATATATATATATATATATATATATATATATATATATATATATAAAGAGGATATAATGAGGACAGAGTAATAATATAATAAAAAAGCTCAAACACTAATATTCCATAAACCATTGTTTAACTCCCCTCTTTAAAACTCCTCTCTGTTAAATTTGAATCCCCACCTTCACCTTTAGGCCTTTTCTGTTCTTCTTTTTTCTATTACACCCCCTCTCTAGAGTTTTCATACATTTCCCTCTCCCACTTGTTTCCCACTCCCACACATACACTCTCACTAAAATTTTGAAACTTAAGTAGGTTATACTGGCTCCTTAGGATGTATTCTAATTTACCGCTCTGCTTAGCGTATTGAGCACTCTATGTTTTCGTGTCTTAAGTCCTTAGTCGAAAGGGTAAAAAATCCAAACGAGTATATATACAACGAAAACATAGAGTGCTCAATACGCTAAGCAGAGCGGTAAATTAGAATACATCCTAAGGAGCCAGTATAACCTACTTAAGTTTCACCTTAACGGATCTTCAGGGTAAAACTGGCTAAAAAAGGAAATGGCGGAACAGTATTTATTGATAAAACCATTAAAACATAAAACCACGTGACAAAAAAAAAAAGAGACAGAGAGATGGAAGAAAACCCAAAGCACTTTTTTGATTAACAGTCTCTCCTATGCCTACACTTATTAATTATCTCGGACCTTTTATTTAATAAATTCTTAAGCTTCTTATAGATGACGATTATAGATGTCTTCCATACATAACCAACAAAACTTGTCACCTGCCTTATATTTATGGCATTTTCTTAACATTTCCCATTTCAAAATGGCGTCACTATTAACTTCTTGCTTTATATCCCATATTTAAGTAGACAAGCTGGTACTATGTCTATAGGTTTCATGATTAAAACTACTTAGATGATTATAATAACGTTTTTTGAAGCTACCTTGGGTCGATCCTATGTATATTTTGGGGTTCTTGTCAGTGTTATTCGGTTTATTTCTATGTATCTCGACTTTGTACACCACACCCTCCTGTTGTCATCTGCCCTCAAGTGGACAAGTGTCCTTATTTCTACAGTTACACTTAGAGGTGTTGGGGTGTGGGGTTTGTTTTTTTCCTGTTGTATTTTCTAAGTAAGTTAGTCATATTTGATATGCAACTATAACTTAATTTAACGTTGTTTTTGTTGAAAATTTTATACAATACATTAGTCGAGGGGGGAATTCTTTTTAATAATTTAAAAAAAAACATTTTTCCTATTTTAGTTTTAACTGCTAGATTATATGGGGGGGTGTAAATATCGTCCTAGTTCCTTTTTTAATCCGTAATAGATCCTTATGGTATAATAATGATTTGCCGCAATGCTTAATGAGGTTGATTTCATCATCAATTATAGAAATGTACCCCTTCGCCAACTTTAACACAGTTTACTGCTTGCAATTCATCTGTTCCGCCAATTCTCTGGCCGTCTGACGTGGATTTTCGTGAAGAAACCTGTTTAATCGCTTCTCATCAAACTCAACTTGTCGACCGGTGAGCTCCTCATCCTCCAGCTCAAAATTTCCTTTTTTGAAGCGCGAAAACCAAACAATTTCCAATGTCACGCAGCCGGAAGTGACATCACGAAGTCCGAATTAATAACTACTGCATTTAGCTGTTTCCAATATGTATTACTATATAAAATATATTTTAGAACAGGTATATTGACTTGTATAAAAATACATATACTGTTCGCAAACTGAATAATTTTTAAACCCTAAGTCGGCATATAGTTAGTAAAACGTTGTCGACCCCTAGTCTAGACTATGGGAGTGCTGAGATCTACGTGAATACTGAGGAAGGTGCTGGATGTTTGACAAGACATTTTGCCACTCGATTTACGGAGATAACCGGCAGACCTATGATGAGAACATGTAAATGAATAAATAATACTGTTCATGTTTTTCATACACTAAAGTATCGTATTCAAGGTGAATCAATTCAAAAACACTGTCATCGTTTATATATTCAGTAGATAATTTTTTTTCTGAAACGATTATATAAATAAACTTCTAAACTACGATGTCTATTATACATGACAGGAATGTGTTTAACTTCAAAAAGTATTCTTATTTTGATCAACGGTTGTTTAACATTAGTATTAAATGACGTCATGGCAAACACAGACCATCCTGTCGGCTGAGGCTTCAGAATAAAGACGACTGACATCTCTGCAGAGGGGTAAGACCCCACCCCGCAACCACAAAAAATGAGGCGTCTAGGGTCAGACGATAAACGACATCCAACACCAAGGCTTCTGATCAGGAGGCTTCAAGGAGCGTGGAACCACCTTTTAATTGCTGGTGTTCCTAGGTCCACCCTGAACAGAAGTGGTAGCACCTGTTAGGGTCCCAACTATGGCAAATAGTTAACTTCCCAAACTGGGTCCAAAACACTAGGAAAGAGTAAGAATAGGTTTTATTACCAGCAACAAATATTATTACCAGCAATACATTTTTGAAGAAAAATTTTACCAGCAATACATTTTGGGAAAAATATTACTAGCAATAAAAACAAGCAAACTTGTCGACATTAAATAACCCATTGAGAATCCAATCCAAACCAATATATACTGAGATAGATAGAGAGATAGATAGATAAAAATACTAGCAGCAATAAAAATCTTGTCGACATTAAATAACACATTGAGGTGTTGATATGCCGTAAAACAAACCAAACCAATATATACTGAGATAGATAGACAGACAGATAGATAGATAGATAGATAGATAGATAGATAGATAGATAAAAATATTAGCATCAATAAAAATCTTGTTGACATTAAATAACCCATTGAGGTGTTGATATGCCGTAAAACAAACCAATCCAAACCAATAGATAGATAGATAAAAAAAATTGCCACCAATAAAAATCTTGGCATTAAATAACCCATTGAGGTGTTGATATGACGTAAAACAAAACAAATGAAACCAATATATACTGAGA